GCCAGGCCAGGGCAGGGCAGGGCAGGTGCGCTGGCCGGTGGGCGGCGCCCGAGACTAGAGCCGGGACTGCCAACAGCCGGGGCTGAGCCGCGTCCCCCGGCCTCGTGAGGGCAGCTGGCCCGCGCTGGACGGTGGCCCCCGCAGGGCGGCCCCAAGGAGGATGGGGGGCGACGGGCCCAGGAGCCTTGTGGGGACGGGCCCTCCCGGGCCAGCGGCGCGGGGCTGCCGAGCGAGCGGGACGCGGCCACTCCGCACTGCGCGCCCAGCGCCCGCCTGGAAGCACAGCGGGCCGGGGCTTCTGCCGCCCTGGCGGCTCCCAGAGGGCTCTGTCAGACCCCAGCTCCCGGACGGGCGAGCGGCGGACTGGCACAGCGCAAGTTCGGCAGTTTGGGAACATTTAGTCACCAAAACAAACACCCGCAAATGTCAAGCACCACTTTATTTCTTAAACGTTTATTTTATTTATTTGCGCTGCTGGAGCTGGGGTGCAAGCCAGAGGTGCTGGGTGTGAGGACACCCGAGAGCCAGTGGGGAGAAGCACAGGCGGGTCCACTGAGACCCACTGCTGAGGATCAGCGCCCTGGGGGTCACTCTAGGCGGGGATGGTGCTGAGACTCGAGCCCTGGTCACCAGGGAGGCCCCCCCCTTACTTTCTTGTGGTGACATCACTCCACAAGACTGCCAGATCACAAGCGCTCTCCACACCCCCCCAGAACAGCCCCTCCTGCGAGGGCCTGTCCCCTGTCCACAGGCGCGTGGGGCGCCGGACAGTGTTTGTCTCTCACTTCCTGCACGTACCGCGGCCCCTTCAAGGTCCAAGCTCCTCACAGGCACCAGGTTGCTGTTCCCGCCACGGTTAGGGCCACCCACACCCCGCAGGGTTGTGGCCGTGTCTCGGCGACTGAAGAAGGTGGCAGTGAGCACCTGGGAGTGTGTCCTCTCGAGTCCCTGTCTTCACATTGCTGGTGGGTCCACACCAGCGTGGGGTCACCGTGTCTATGACAAAAATGTATTTTGAGGAATCTCCATGCTGTCTAGCATGGCGGCGATACCAGTCTGCACCCACCGTCGGTGCCCTCGTCCTCACTGGTATTTAGTGCTGGCTGTTTTATAATCGCGACTTAAGCAATTATGAGTGTGAGGTGAAAGATCATGGTTTTTTTTGTTACTTTATTTTCCTAGTTTTGTTTTTCCCTTTCCAAAGCACCGGTACCTGCACCCCGCCAGCCGACCTCCCCCCATGCCCTCTGCCTGCTTCCCATTCCTTCCAGTAGCCGTTATATTCTTTTCACTGAATTTGTTTTATTTTTTCTATCCTTTTGTGTATGTCATTTTTAAAAATTTGTATTCTGGATCCTCCTTGGTGGCTCAAGGGGTTAAAGTGCAGCACTGTGAAGCTACCTGTAGTCTCTGCATCATGAGTTTGATCCCCGGCCAGGGAGTGACCCACAGGCCGCAACAGACCCTTCCATCCCCCTGTTGCTCCCCCCCCCTCAGTATTTTGGTCGACCCACCTGTTCCGTTCCCAAACTCTGTCTCTGGGGAGTCCTCTCACCCTCCACAGTTTGGCCTGTGCCCCAGTTCTTGTGCATAAAGAAAGAAATCTTTAAAAATATAAAATTTATATTCCACAGATGAGTGAAATCATCTGTAATTTGTCTTTTACTTTTTGACTGATTTCACTTAACAGGTCCATCCATTTTGTCCCAGATGCCACCCTTTCTCCTTTTCACACCTGTATAGTACTCCATCTAATATACGTCCCACGATTTATTTGTCCACTCCTCTGTTGAAGGACACTTGTGCTGTTTCACGAATTATCAACTGTGTGCAGTACTGCTATGTAATAGGCATAGATAAAACTGTCCTTGAGTTTTCTTATTACTTGGATAAATACCCAGTGGAGGTATTGCTGGATGATACGGAATTTCCATCTTTATTGTCTTGATCAGTCACTCTCTGTACGATTTTTCACAGGGGCTGTCCAGCCTGCGTTCTCATCAGCCGTGGATGAGAGCGTCTTTCCCCCCACAACTTCATCAGCATTTGCTAATTCAGTTCTTTCTTATGTGGCTCGTTCTCCGGCAATGAGGTGGCACCATTGTGTGGTCTTGGCTTGTGTTTCTCTGGTAGTAAGTGACACTGATCATGCTTCATCTTTCCATAGGCTGCTGAAAGGCTTTGTGCTGTGGGGCTTTTATGGGCTCCAGCCTGGCTTGGCGTTTACGTGATCTCTTCTGAAAAGGGGGAGGGGAGGGGCTTTTAGTGTCCACGCTGCCTGGATCCCAGGTTGCAGTCACCAAGCTCCCCGCCTGTGTGCGCCGAGCCCAGTCTCCCGTCTGAGCGCACCCCTGCGAGACAGCAGCATGCGTGAGCCAGCACAGAGCACTTGTATCTTGGTCACGGTTCCCAGAGCAGCCTGGGGGGTTCAGTGTGCAAGTCATGGCACGTCTCTCTGGCTGCATGTGATTGACACCCTCAGAAAAGAGCCATTCCGCAAAGGGGGCTGGAGGTGGGATCCCCTTCTCTGGGGCTGACCTTGGAGATGTGTAATTCACACCCGTGATGTCTTATCTGAAGGACCAGCTGACCTACGGGGGATGCCACCCTCAGACTGCCCGTGCTGGGCGTGGCCGGTCCAGGCGCCCCCGTTGGGTCCTGGGCTTCACCTAGGGCCTGTTCCTGGAGGTTTCCCTTCGCTGGCTTAGTTCTCTCCAGATGCCTTTATTTGCATTTCTGCTTGATTTTAAAGCTGTAAACATCACATACGCCGACTGTAAAGAATTCAGAACCCAAGTCTATAGAGTAAAAAAGTGGGGGGTCCCCTTTACCGTCGTTCCCCAAAGACAGGCCCTCCCCAGAGAGGCCTGGCAGTGGGCCAGCGTGTGTGCCCGTCATTGCTGCCTCACTGCCGGGGACAGCAGCAGGCCTGGGGCAGGCGTGGGGCTTCTCCGTACCCCTTCCTTTTGGAGCGTCCTCTGCACAGGAGACCAGCTCAGCCACTCCAGACTGGTGTGGCCTCCGCGTCCCGAGCCTCCCTGTGCACACTGACAGTCCAGTCCATTCTGGTGACTTTCCGGAGAGGCTGCTGCTGGACCGGATTCTGGTGGAAGGACCCGGCTCCCGCCAGGGTGGGGAAGGGCCCCTCTTCTCATCCCGTTCCCAGTTTCCAGCCCTGGGCTGGGTCAGGTCACAGTGCTGGGGTCTATACCCCCAGCTGAACAGGAAGGAGCCCCACTTGTTGCTGCATCTCTGGAGTGGGGTTCGCAGCCCGGGAGTGTTGGGGTGGAGCTCACGGTTGTTCCTGCTCACCTGCGTCTGGTGCTGACTGGGCTGTTGGGGTCCACCCCAGGGACCAGTGTCCAGGGCTCTGGTTTGCCTCATCTCCTGGTGGCCTGCAGCAGCGGTGCCTGAGTTAGGGGGGCCTTGCACTGATCTGATGTAGTGGGGGTCAGCCCAGAGCATTGTGGGGTGCCTGGCCCCTTCCCTCCACAGGAGATTGGCCTTCCTCTTTGGCTTTTATTTATTATTCTTGTTTTAAAGATTGACTTACTGATGCTGTAAGAGCTGGGGTACCGGCCAAAGGTGTGGAGGGTAGAGGACTCCCCAGCGACAAAGTGGGGAGCAGAGCAGAACAAGTGGGGATGGACGCAGGCTGCAGGACAGCTTGAGTGTGGCAGGGCTTGACCTGCACCGCCAGGGAGGATTTTGTAAGCCTTGTGTATGTTTGGAACGTTCCTAGTACGGTACGTTTATGTGAAGGCGTAGCCGTTTTTATGAGAGCTTTCTGTGAGGTGTCCTTACGCCCAAGTTCACTCAATATGTTTTTTTGCAGCAATTTTGTCAGTCTGAGGTGTCCTTTTTTTTTTTTTTTAAAGATTTATTTATTTATGCATACAGAACTGGGTACAGGCTAGAGGCTCAGGGGTGGCGAGAGGCTTCACCGGAGACAGAGCGGGGAACAGAATAGGCAGATCGACGAAGTCCACTGCTGAGGGGAGCAGCGGGCGGGTCAGGAGAGGTCTGCTGCGCCATGTGGTCTCCTCCAGGACAGGCGGGAATCGAACTCATGTGGAAGTGGCTTTAGCTTCTCAGTGCAGTGCTTTAACCCGCTGCGCCACCAGGGAGGGCCCTGAGGTTTCCTTTTAAGACAAACACTTTACTGTTTTACAATTTTTGATTCCAGAGAAGTTGTATCAAGAGATTTTGATTTTTTTTTTCATTGAGGTTGATTTTGCCATGCGGAGCAGTTTTTTTAAATTTCTTTTTATTTTTAAAGATTTATGTATTTATGCACACACTACTGGAGTACAGGAGAGAGGTGCAGGGGCAGTGAGGGGATTGCCCAGAGACAGAGTGGGATCGACGAAGTGCGCTGCTGAGGGGAGCAGCGGGGCAGTCAGGACAGGTCTGCTGCGTCCTGGGGGTCACCTGGGGTGGGGGGCGGGATGGAACTTGTACTGAAGCGGCTTTGGCAGCCCGCAGTGCTGCGTCCTAGCCCGCTGCGCCACCAGGGAGAGCCAGTGACAAAGGTTTTTCTAGGCAGATTTTTCAACAAGGCTCAGCAATGCTGAGAGGATACAATTTTTCAGATACTCTGAGGGTGAAAAGGAGCACCAGGATTTCCAGGTCACTTCAACAGTCTTTGATCTGCTGTGGGGCCCTTTCCTGGTGGCGCAGCATGTGGAAGTGCAGCCCTGCGAAGCTCCAGTTCAGACCCGCTGAGGGGGGGGCCTCAGGGCGCGGCAGCCCTCTCCTGACCGCCCGCCGCTCCCCTCAGCAGTGCACTTCGTCAGTGGGCCTGTGCTGCTGCCCGCTCTGGCTCTGGCGAGCCCCCTCACCTCCCCACACCTCTGGCCAGTGCCCCAATCTGTGTGTATAAATAATGTATAAATAAGTCCTTTTTTTTTTAATTTTTAAAGATTATTTATGCAGTCAAAAACTGGGATTTAGGCCAGAGGTGTGGGGTGGGTGGAGATTTCCCCAGAGACAGAGTGGGGGGCAGAGTAGTCAGATCCACTGAAATCCACACTGAGGGGGCAGCTGGGAGTTGAGAGGGTCAGCGGCGCCTGTGGGTCACTCCCTGGCCAGGCTCGCACCAGGCTGCAGGGAGTATCGGCAGCTTGACAGCTAACCCCTGTGCCCCAGAGGGTCCGCCTTCATTTTTTAAATGTAAAAAAAAGTTGAAGTCTGGTGTTACACAGGTACACAACCAGTATTAAGGTTAGCATCAGTATGTTTGCAGCAAGCCACTCGAGCACACACCGTTTCTTTTGAATCGCTCGGACCTTTAACACTTTCTTTTGCTTTTTCTTTTGGATACCATTTGGTTTGTTTAAAAATTTCCCAAGAACTTCAAAATCCCCACTCCTAATACGCTCTTCTTTTTAACACACCCTCCCTTCACTTCACTCAGTCATCCGCTGGGATTGGCTCCTCCGGGCCGTTGGGCCGTTTCCTGACAGCCAGGAGCCCTGACACTCGGCCGTCTCGCCTACATGACGGGAGACACTTGGCGCTTTTATCGTTAACCTCAGCAAAACCTTAGTTTTAGAAGGGATGTAGCCAGCCACCCTTTAAATAACGAACGAATTCAAGACGGAAATACCAATTGCAGCTTTAGTTTTGTCCTAGGACAGAAATTTCTAGCCAGTTGCAGGGTGAACTGTGACACCCCGCCAGGGGGCGCCAGGGGCCAGCGCTGCGGTGGCCGGAAGGCTGAGCAGGAAGGCTGAGCAGGGCGCGCGCCGCAGCCGCGGGGGGGGGGCGGGGGGGCCTCTGCCCAGGGAGCCCAGGCTGATGGCTGTCCCGACAGCGCCCCGAGATTTTATGCATAGAATGAAGTGTCAGTGCCCAACTTTGTATCTCTGGCGCCTGCATGCTTGAAAGTCAACCTCGAAGTTTGAATTATTTCTTGTTTGGCCCACATTTCAGGTAGTGATGTCAAAACGCGGGGTTCCACTAGAATGCATGTGGGCGCTGTGTGTGGTTAACCCTGGGGCGCAAGGCGGGCACGGAGCGCTTGGCTTCTCTCCACAGTGGCCTGGGTGCTCACTCTGCGCCCCACAGCTGCTCGCCAGCATCTGTGCACACTGACAAGCTGCGGTCACTTAGTTTCTCGGTTCCACTGGCGCCTTCACATGAGACCTCCCGCGGCCGGGAGGCGCCCACAGGCGGCCTGGGCCTCGACTAGCCCGAGACCCGAGGCTGACAGACAGCACAGAGACTTGCGTTTTCACTTTATGGCTTTGGCCACATTAACTGGATTTAATAAGGTGACTTCCCACGGGTCAAAGAAGCAGATTGGAAGTTTTCAAAAAGATTTGTTTAGTTATGCACACAAGAACTGGGGTTCAGGCCAGAGGTGTGGGGGTGAGAGGACGCCCCAGAGACAAGAGTAGGGGCAGAGCGGGCGGATCCACTGAGGCCCACTGCTGAGGGGGGCTGAGGGGGCAGAGGGGTCTGCTGCGCCCTGGGGTCCCTGGCCGGGGTCGCACTCAGACCCCGGCAGACAGCTCCACAGTGTTGCGCCCCACCCCTGCGCCACCAGGGAGGCCATAAGGTTTTTGTTAAACTGAGCCCAGATGTGGCCTTTTCCAGACTAGGAAGTGCGGGGACAGAGGGTTGTGTCCCCATGGCGCAGACCAGAGCAGTAGGTCACGGTGGACAAAGGGGCCAGTTCTCCCGAGGCAGGAAGACCCACAGTGAAGTCAGCACTGGAACCTTTCAGGTCCAGGCTGCCCCGGGGCAGCGGCAGCCCCCACCCGCAGCCCGCACACCCCTCCTTCTGCCTGGGCCGTGGCGGACGTGACCCCTGGAGCAGGGTACGGGGCTGCGCCCCACGACACGCAGACTCCTGCTTTGCTTCAGCCTCTGGGGATCAGATTTGCTAGTTTTTAAGTGCAGAGCTCAAGGGCAAGGGCAGACTCTGACCCCTGTAGCCACAGAGGTGCCCTGTCGGGCCTCATGGGAGGTGCATGTCCTGGGCGGGGTGGGGGGGACACTGCCTTCTGAGGGGCGGTGCGGGGGGGCGGCGCCCGGGGGCCCCTGCGGTGCTTGCCGGCTGTGTGGGGCAGCCCTAGCCCCGTGGGCCTCGTGGCTCATGGGGTGAGGGCCCCCAGCGCCGTTCCTGGGGAGCCCTGAAGGAGAAGGCGTGGGCAGGTGCGGGCTTCCGGGCACACTGGCCCCGCGGCCTGCCCCTCCCGCCTGTCTCCGGTCAGGATCTGCCTGTCCCGACGGACGCGGCTTCTGGACTGGCCTGGGGTCTGGCCCCTCCCGCGCCCCCAGGGCGAGCGGTGGGCATCTGCCCTGGCCCCAGGGTAGCTCATCCACCCTGGGTGCCCATGGGTCGCTCCCTGCTGCCGGGGGACCGTCCTCCTGGGAGTGGACACGCTGTCCCGCTCGCCCAACTGGGTCAGGAGGGGTCCGTGGGTGCCCCGATGGGGCCCCCCGAGGGCACCTGCGTCCTCCGGTGCCTCGTCCCTCGCCTGGAGCCTGCCCGGCAGGGGTGCTGGCCGCGGGGCTCAGGGCTGGCTGTGGTGCGTCCGGTGAGTACGGCTGACCGCAGCAGCAACTGCTGTGGCTGAGGCTTCTAGAACAGGACTGTGGCTCTGCCCCAGGCCAGCTCAGGGGGAGGGGCCTCCTGCTGGGTCCCGGAGCGCCCGGCCGGCTGTCCACTGACCCCAGGCCTGCGTCCCTCTGTGCCCCGGCTGGTGGACAGTCCCGGCCTCTCCTGTGAGTTGGGCAGGCGTCGGGGCCTCTGAAGCCTACAGTCCCCCACCCTGAAGTGCCCTTGGGGTCCGCAGGCTGGGCCTCTGGGTGATGCCTGCCTGGCTTGTCTGTGGGGTGTCTTTGCCGCCCAGTTCCCTGTTGGCAGAGTCCTGGGGTTGAGGGTGCTTCCCCACCCCCACCCCCCACCCCCAAGCCAGAGGCAGGAACAAAGGCCACTGGGGAGCGCAGGGTCGGCCCCACCTCCACGGTGCTGTCTGCACCCCGGGGTCCGGCCGGTGAGCCTCGCAGGGACAGGGGCGGCGTCAGTCAGCAGGGTGCCGACCCCAGGCCTGGGGGAATGAGCTCTCCCCCCTGTAGCTGCCCAGGCCCCACGCACTTCCGGGGGGGGAGGGGCTGGGCTGGGGTGTGTAGCCCGCCATGTCCTGCGCTCTAGGGCCAGGCTGGACCCGCCGCCGTCCTGGGGAGCGCCCCTGCCCGGTGGGGACAGGCAGCACAGGGGCTGGCCTGGAAGGAAAGGGTGGCCTGGGCCTCTGGTTCAGGGTGGACGCTGTGTACAAAGAGCATGTAATTAATTTATTTATTTCTTTACACAGAACTGAAGTGATGTTACAGTACATAAGTTATTTACACTGTGCAGTAATGTGTTGCAAAATAAATTATCTAGAAGGCAGCAAAAAGTACATTGTGAATGTGTATAAAACTGTACAGCGTTACGGGTACACTTTATATGATTATTGGCTCTGTAGTGTTTCAAGTTATGTTCTCAGAAAGAGAAACGAAATGCCCAAGATTAAAGGAAAAAATATACAAACCACGTGGATTTGACTCCATTAAAAACACGAAGGCGAGCCTGGCTCGGTGTCCCTCGGGCCGCCTCCGGCCCAGCTTGGGGCCAGGGCCTGGCAGCTCCCTGGCAGGGTGGGCGCGCCTGCCCCCGGCCGGGAGGTCGGCGTCGGGGTGGAGGCCTGGCTCTGCCTCGA